AGACAGGGTTTCTCTGTGTAGCTTTGCGCCTTTCCTGGAGCTCACTTGGTAGCCCAGGCTGGCCTCGAACTCACAAAGATCCGCCTGCCTCTGCCTCCCAAGTGCTGGGATTAAAGGCGTGCGCCACCACGCCCGGCAACTATCATGTTTTTATTGCTAGATTTCTATTTCTTCTTGATTCTGTTTTTGACAAAGTGTTAATTTCTATGAATTTGTTCATTTCTTTTGAACTATCCAATATGGTGCCTGTATTATTCATCACTTTCCTTATGATTCTTTTTATCTGAGGCGTCGTCCATTGCAATGTCTCCTCTTGAGTTTCTAGGTTTGTCTGTTTGAAACTTTTCTCCCCTTTCCTGGCTAGGCTGGCTAAGGATTTGTTGCTCTCTCTTTTATAAAACACCATCTCTTAGTTTTACTGATCTTTTCTATTCTTTACTTCATTTCTCCCTTAGCCTTTATTATTTCCTGCCTTCTGCTCACAATGGGTAGGTTTATTCTTCTTTCTGTAGGTCTTTGGAGGTGCAAATTTAGATTGCTTCTTGGGATATAATCTATCCTGAGAAAGATTCATGTGCACAGGGCAAGCATGTGTATTTTCTCACTGGGATGAAAAGTCCTGCTTGTGTCTCTTCGGTCCACTTGGTTTTAAGGTTCTGTTTCTTTTTTTATTTGCTGTCTGGATGTCGTGTTCACTCTAGAGGGTGGGGACTGTAGAATTCTGCAGTTATTTCACTGCTGCCCACGTCTCCCTTTATAACAATCAACCCAATTTATAGTTTCAGGATTTGTTGTGAGGTCATATATATTTAGGTTTCTTATAAATTATTATTGAATTCGCCTTTTAAATCATTGAATAATAACTTGCTTTGTCTCTTGTGAGTGAAAGTGTATTTTGACCAGGGTATATCTGCCCTTGATCTCTTTGAGTTTCCATTTACATGGAATATTACTCTCTATTAGTTAGTGCCTTTAAATCTAAGGTATGTCTCTTATGGAGAATATATACTTAGGGCTGTGGGGCATACATGGCCTGCAAAGAGGGTGCTAAGAGAAATTCAGATAAATAGAGCTTAAGCTTTAAGCTGTTTACGCAGAGAGTGGATACAAATGGTATCAGAGGAAGTTAGTTTAAGCTGTTTGTGCAGAGAATAGATACAAAGGATGGCTAAAAAGAAGTTAGCTTGGGTTGTTTGTAAGGAGATTAAAGACAAATAGTGTGAAAGAAAGTTAACTCAAGTTATTTATACTAAAAACAGGAGATGATGTCAGGGCATAAACAACTTGTAAAAAGGGAGCCCTTTGAAATGATTGGTTGGTTCCTTCACCCCCTCCTAGGAGTCTGAGGTTTTCTGGTATAAAAGAGGCTTACTGCCCATCCATAAAGGAGTTCTTGCTTGACTTGACTCCCCGCTGCGGCTGATTGTCTCCGGGTAAGAGGGAGGCTGGGGTTCCAGGCCACCTCTCACAGGTGACCTAAGTTCCCGGTGGGGCAGGTCCGCACATAGAGCAGCCAGTCTCTATCATTTGATT